ACACACACACACACATAGACACACACACACACACACACACACACACACACACACACATAGACACACACACACACATAGACACACACACACACACACACACATACACACACACACACATAGACACACACACACACATAGACACACACACACACACACACACAGCTGCATTACCTTCCTAATGCAGAAGGCAGAGCAAATGAGTGCACCAAAGCCATGAAACACAATGGAAAGAAGGACAGCCACAAACCTTCCTTTACATCTTCACGTGGTGTTGGTGGGTCAGGAGGCTTCTGATGGTGCCTGGAGCCAGCCCTGGCATCCGTCTTCATCCTCTTAGACATCCCCATCTGCAACATCATCAACCATCACTGGAAGTTAGCGCAAGACAAGAGCCAGAGTTCACTTAATGCCACCAATGTTAGACAACTCAGATGGAAGGGAGAGGAAGGAGAGGAGAGAGGGAACAAACAGAGACAGGAGACGATGGACGCAGGATGGGGAGGACGAGGGGATGAGGGACTGAGGGAAGGGAGCGGCGGAAGGAGGGAGCGAAGGAGGGACTGGCGAAGGGAGGGAGAGAGGGAGAGAGGGAGAGTGGGAGAGAGGGAGAGCGGGAGAGCCGGAGAGCGGAGCGGAAGAGCGGCAGAGGGAGCGAGGGACCGAGGGGTAGAGTTAGAGAGGGAGGGGGAGGGAGAGGGGAGAAGGAGAGCAAGAGGAGGAGACAGCGAGGGAAGGAGGGAAGGAGGGAAGGAGGGAAGGAGGGAAGGAGGGAAGGAGGGAAGGAGGGAAGGAGGGAAGGAGCGAAGGAGGGAAGGAGCGAGGGAGCGAGGGAAGGAGGGAAGGAGGGAAGGAGGGAAGGAAGGAAGGAAGGAAGGAAGGAAGGAAGGAAGGAAGGAAGGAAGGAGGGGGGGAAGGAAGGAAGGAAGGAAGGAATGAGGGAGGGAAGGAGGGAAGGAGGGAGGGAGGGAAGGAGGGAGGGAGAGAAGGAGGGAAGGAGCGAGGGAGCGAGGGAAGGAGGGAAGGAGGGAAGGAGGGAAGGAGGGAAGAAGATCCACGGGGGGAGGGAGAAAAGGGAAAATAAATGATCTTCTGGGCGCTTGGTGTTCTTCGGTTCTCGGCCGATTCCGTACCTGTCTCTTATACACATCTAGATGTGTATAAGCAACAACAAC